GTGTAAAACAGCGAGTAACAGAACTGCAGCGTTTGATTTATGGGCAGCTGAGCACTGCAGGCAGCTGAGACTCCTCCTTAGCTTTGCAGCGTCTCTCATTTTTGCGAAGATGATTACTGCTGCAGAGATCTGTTGCTGTCTAAGGGTCTGAGCTGGTTTTGCATACCCATGAGGTCCTCCCTTGGTGCCATTGTCACTTTCAGCAGCTAGAATATTCTGCCTTCATCTGGATAGTGGGGAAGCTAATACGCTGAGTGGCAAAATCATGAAATGCAAAATGTCAAACCCAGGTAAAACATGACAAATCAGGTAGAGCAACATTGGAAAGCTGCTTATCCCACAACTCATGAGCCCTCTTTTCCCACCTAAGTTATCAATAAAAGGAGCTTCTATTAAATAGGGTGGTCCAGCAGCACAGGGCAGCAAATGAACCAAGGGCTTGTGAGTTTCCACTGATCCTTCTGCTAGTTTTACCTGCAGCTGGGTTTTGGGGTTGTTTTTTAGTTTCGTTTTTCCCCAATAAAATTCCTCACTGTTGTAAAGCTGTGTGGTTCCCATTCCAAAAAGTTCTGTTAACTCATGCGACCTCTGAAGGAATTAAACATGTTTTGCTTCCTAAACGGAAAGCCGCTAGAATATTTACATAGTGAAGTAGTCTTTTAAGATTTATCTCCTCCTTCCTCCTGGATTTTAAAAGAAAATAAATTCCACTTGCTTGAAGTTGATTTTTGCTTTAATATTTTTAATGATGTGTTGAGGACAGTGGGCTGGAAGCGCAGGGATTAGAGTGCTAGGTTCTTTTCTCAATTTTGTCAGGGACACGTGTTAATTCAAGTAAACCCTGACCCTCCTGTTCTCTTCCTCCCCAGCGCACTCTGTTTTCTATTGTGTAAAAGATGTCTAATGATACACATGGCTTTAGATTCTTACAGGTTTATTTAATACTGAAAATAATGCCTTTCACAGAAATGCAAACCATTTTTTCTTGGGTTTATTACACTTCCTCTTAATTCCTGTAGATCCTTTAAATCACATTTTAAATGTCACTTTTGAAGCACAATATCATGTGCGGTGTTTAAAACTGAAAAAATGATTTTTGTACTTTCTTCACTGTCCTCCCATCTGCCAAAACTCGGGCCTTTTGCAAAAATCAGCAAATTGACGTCAGTTCATTTACCCTTAGGGACAATAAATTATTACACAGCTTAAGTTATAAAAATAAATAACTAAAGAGGGTGGAGGAAAGAGATGGAAAACAACAAAAATCTATCACAAACTCTCCCTGGATTCTGAAGAATATATGATTATAGCATTAAAATGTCCAAACAATGCAACCGAGCAGAAGGCGTTAGAGCTTGGGCCTTAGCTGGCTCTGCATTACGCAGCATTAATGTTTTTATAAAGCCTTTAGAAAGCTCAGAATTGACCTGTTTTTATTATTTTTATTGGCTCCCTTGATGGTAGACAAATGGGGCTAACCTGAGGCCAACATAACCAGCAGGAAATTTGGGTCATGGGTAGTTACATTTTTAAAACTTGTGTTTTAGGGTTGTTCAATCAGGGTAATTGATTGATTGTTAGGCGGTGCAGGGAGCCCCTAAATCATCAGAGGTGGCCAGATAATGACAATCTGCCAGTGGATTTTGTTTGAGGCAAATTTCCCAGCTCTCTGTGGAGCCGTGCTCCGCAGTGAGGCTGCAAGTCCCCTTTTTTTTCATGCACGCTCCAATCCAACTGGCCTGTTTGGACAAAATAGCCTCTGAAACTTGGCAGTTGCATTTGAAGTCCTCTGTAGTGCCATTTCCCAAGAGATAAGGGAAAAACATTCCAGAGAAGTTCATACCCCAGAAAGACCCTACGTGCGTTCTGAAGTTAACGGTTTATTATAGCGCTTTAATTTTTTTTTTTCTCTTTCATTTTTACTTTGAAGATAAGAGGTGGCAATTGTTGCTTTAAGTTGTTGAGTTTTAGCCCCCCCTTCAGTAAATCATCCTGAAAGTTTAGACCCAATCTTTTTTTTATCATGTATGTTTGAAAGTTTGCCAGAGGTGCTGTACACGTGTACTTTCAGGAGCTACTATCCTCAAGCAGGAGCTGTTGACCCTACTTTTTTATATGACCATGTGCATCCTCAGTGCTCCATGCATTTAGATAATTCATGCATGCAAAACAGAGCTTTTTCAAGAACTCATCTTTGGTGTTGTAGGAGCATGCTATGAGATATTTAGGGATGGGGTGAAGTAGAGAGTTTGTGTATTGGGAGGGGGGAATAGATGATGTTCAATAATACGTGGCATAGGACTTACCTCTTCTTAAAAGTGAATTCAGATTAATATAGAGTGAAGTTTGTCATCTGTTCCCTAATAACTCCACATGAAGGTTAATCTTCAGTTCTTAGATTTTTAGGAATGATTAAGCTTTTGTTTGTTGCGGGTGGCTTCATCCTGGTAGCTGCATACCTCTGAATTCCTTGAAGTTTTGTCTTTTTCCATTTTAGGATCTGGATGATCTGCTATTTATTGTACTGGCATACAGATGAGAATTTGTTTGTGTCACTTTGCAAGAAGAGAGCAGGTAATACTGAACTGAGGCAGGGCTCAGTTGAGATTGGGAACCGACTGCCTTGTCTTGAGGGTGGCCCAGCTGCAGCATATGCCAGACTGGCGCCAAACACTATAGACTTGCTTCCCAGGCAGAGCAGCGCCTGGATTTGCTGTGCATGTGCTTTAATGCTCCCTGCCCAAACACACACAGAGTGCCAACCCCTCCCAGCTTTCTGAATGTTCCTTTTTGGCTCCCAAATGCTTTTGACCACTGTAGCTTTGTAATTTACTGCTTCAAGTCCACAGTGTGCACTTACTGTTAGGTTTAGCATGTGGGTAGTTAGAAAATTCTTCTCTAAGGTATGTATTCTAATAGGAACGCAACATCTGACCACATTAAGGTCCCTTGAAAGATGGGTCCATGGCAAAACTGGTATGTGAGGAACAGGGTGGGGCCCAAAGTCCGCAGAAGTGCTGTCTCCTATAGCACAGGCTGGAAAAAGGTTTCTTGAGAGCTTGAGTAATTCGTGCTTGCTTTATGATCGTGATCTATAGTGGATTGGTGTAGGTGTAAAAATTACGGTTCACGAGATGCTTGTTAGTGTTTCAGAGATTGTCAAAGAACAACTAAAACAAAATACAACCAAAACCAGGACCCTCTGATGTGTTGTACTGAGTACACCAAGAGATGAAACTTTCAGTTTCCATGTTCCTAAAGTTAGACTCTGAAATCCCTGCCCAGGTTTCAGAAGAAACTACTCAGTTGTCAGAAGAGCTCAGAACTAAATTAATGCAGTTAAAAGCATGGATAAACCTAGTTGCATGATTTTGTTAATGTATAAACCTGTGTCTCTCTCTGGTTTGTTTGTTTTGTATTTTATTTACTTATTGTGAATCTATTTAAAGGGTATATTATTGGCTGTGATGACTATTTACCATGACCAGTCGTTTTGAAGTTACTGTAGTAACAACCAAGAATAAAAGTTTGCAGACTTGACTTACTGGATTATAGAAGATTCAGTGTTTCGCTGTACGCTATGTATTGACGCACAGGTTTTCACAAGGAGCTGTTTGGCGATCACAGGGCAAGGGGCAGGGTACTGAGGGTGGCGTTGCAGGAGACCTCTTGGATGGATCTGACTGATCGCCACCGTCAAGTGGGGAAGGCTGTGCTTCTCTCCTCCCGCACCTCCTTCCCCGCACAGCAGCAGCAGCAGCAGCGTGCTCCTCCTGCTTGGCCCTGCTTCTCACCTGATCCCACTGCTGAGCTGCAAACTAACCCACAGCAGAAAACTCGCGTGTGGAGATATCATGTGCAGGTGTGTGTGAGCAGCGAGGGTGGCAGTTTGCTGCTATGATTAGTCACTCCGCTGTCCTGAGTGGCAGAGACCCGCACGGATCTAAACCCCAGCCCTGGTGCTAACGTGATGTGGATGTCAGTGTGGCACTTAAGGGGATTCGTGGCTGAAGTCTCCTTTTTACAACCACAGGAAAGCTGTACGGACACCTCTCCCACAGAGATGAGAAGACGCAAGTGCGATTTCAACTACTGAGGACCTAGGACATGCCACCATACTCTCAGTTTCCCCCTCCTTTTCTCTCCCAGCCTTCTTCTTATATACACATTATGATCATCTTTCAGCCTCACAGTCACGTAGTTCTCCCCGCTTCCACATGGCCTTTACCTTACTCACCTCACAGCATGGATGCGCTGTGGGAATGAGCCTGACCTGCCTAGCAAAGAAGGGTTTTTTGGTGTGGAAGACCCCTGTTACATGCCTTGAGAAGCTGGCGAGTGTGCTGTGAAGGAGGCAGAGGGAGAAGAGGGTCAGGGCACATGCCAGGCAGGTGATTGCTGCGCTGTCCTTGCTCCTGTTGTACAGCTCCTCTAGGAAACCACGCTGGTCACTTAAACCACACACTTCACAGGTGGTTCCCTCTGTTTCTAGTTTTCTGGGTTTCTGACCTGAAAGCATAGGGACAGGTTTGCAGATGTGCTGAGAGCTCGCAATAGCAATTGAAGTCAATGGGAGCTGGGCTTTGAACTCCCTGCTCAAGTACAAAATCAGGCCCAAGGAGGAGGACCAGAATTTAGAGGAAGTGTTTGACCTTGTGTTTGTACCATTTTTACCCATATCGCAAAGATTGATGCTCCTGTCCTCCCATCTTGCTGGTACGTGGAGAAGATTTAATCATCAGGCTTTTCAAGTGCTAAGAGGCTGCTATCATGAGTGCCTAGGAGAAGACTTGTAGGAAACTAATAAATTTGCTATCTGAGCAGCAAATATGTCACAGGACGTTGTGCTGACAAAAGAGAATGCAAATATTGAACAATGTTTCATTAAATGAGCACGGCTATTATGAGAAATAATAACTTGCAGATGCAGGCAGGAGTATGTCTGATGTCTGATAAGCACTATGGGGTCAATCTGACATGATCTTCCTTCTGTTTCTCAGACTATTGGCGAGTCAGAAATGCCCAGTGTTTTGAACCAGTTCTTGCCAATGATCAAGTCTTACAACGAGAGGACGAAAGATGATTATACCTGCGAGGACTTCCTTGTCTTGCTGGTATACATGTATTCTGTGGTCGGAGAAATCAAAAGTGGAAAAGAGCTGGACGTAGCTGAAAAGGAGGTGAAAAAGGCCCTAGTCAAGGCCATTTGTGATGAGCCAGAGCCATCTCCTGTGTTGCAGAAAATAACAGGTAAGATTCTGCTTGTGTAGTGAGAAATTGGATGCCTGTGAACGTGGGAACTGGGAGAAACATATAAAAGCGTCTTGACTCGTCTGCGGTGCTGAGGGTACATGAATAAGCACAAGGATTTCCTGTAGATTTGTTCCATCTCCCATGTTCATATATGCCAAATGCTGACAGGCTGTCCTTGAATAGTGCTGAGTCTGATGAAAGCTCTATAAGTTGTTCTTTTTGTTAAAGGTTGGCTAAGTTTGTGTGTTTTCATAAGGTAATCTTTTCCACAATTTCTTTCATTGATCAGTATAAAGTTGAGCCTGGGAAGTCAAAATTAATCCTGGAAACATGTTCAATGAACCACAGTTGCTTTGTGAATACGAGGAGCTGGCCTGTCTGGCATAAAAGAAGAAATGTGTCTAAAACCAACATTGAGCTTTTTGCTGAAATGACATGAACATTAGCCTTTAAAAATAGCACGCTAAGCCTTTTTTTAGATGAGCACTCATAGAGTAGAAAAGCCCTAACCTTTAGCTGCTGGTGTCACATTTTGGAAGAAAATAGTTGTTAAAAAACGTTCATTAAAATGAATGAACTATGGCTCGAGGGTGGCATATCTGAATGGCAAAAGGGATCTTGCTTCCTGTTGTCACTTTTCTCAATATTTACTAATAGAGAGCAGGTCATTGACCAGGTCACCTTTGAGGTAGGGAGCATATGAACATAAATCAAAATGTTGTAAGGAGCTTACAATTGAAAGCCTTTGCCAAGAACAAGCCTAAGTGGGGAGTCTCAAGGGCAGCGGAGTAATTCTGCTGTTGGTTTTTCTGGTATTATTCCCTGTGGATGCTTCTGCTTCAAAATACCAGTGTGGTCTGACCGGTCTGCTGTTGCTTTGAGTGTAAAATAGTTCAACGGTTAAAAGACTCTTACTGCAGAAATGGGCATGTTCAGTCATATTTGCACTGTGCTGTTATTTTAATACTCCTGGCCGTGGTGCCACAGCGTTCCAGGCTTCTTGTAGACTTTTGCTCTCCTGTTTTTCAATATCTTGTCCACTACGTAGTGCTTCCCTCACAACTTCAGCGGTGTCTTCTACTGGATATGGTGCAGTCATTTCTAAACCTCCATTTTCATATTTTGGCTTTTCTCCTATGATCAACAGTGTTTTGGATCACAGTTTTATGAGTTTCCCTTTGTTGTGGCTAACATAAGTATGGGAAGATTTGAAGTCTCTAAACTTCAGTCAAGTACCAAAGAGAAGCTGCATTCCTGTATACATAGATGCTTCCCTTGTTGCTCTCTATGACCCTCAGGTTATGTAGTTGCAAGCACAGATGGAGATCAAAATAGACATTGTGCTTGTCTTATGTTTCATAAACTGTCAATAATTCAATAGTTTTTACAAATATACTTGTATGCTTGATTTCCAGTGTGCAAGTTTCCTAAGTAAAAGTGAGTATCAGGGTGTTTGCTCTCAACTTCTGGGCAGATGAACAGGTGAATGAATGTTTCAGTACAAAGATTCTTCAGTTTATGAAATAAAATTACTTCTGTCTTTTTACATATTGGGCGGACTATTAGAAGCATGGTGGGTGTCTGAAGTACGGCATTCATCTCCTTAGGCATAAGTATTCACTCTGTTATGTGGGGCATCTGACTATGAAAAAGAGAAAGCCTTGACATTGTGCAAGCACTGTTCAGCAACAGCCAAAGCATTCGTGTGTTATCAACACAAGTTTAGCCACAAATCCAAAACATAGCACTGTACAAGTTGCTGTGAAGAAAGTTAACTCCGTCCCAGCCAGACCCAGTATAGGTAGTTTCAGACCAAGGACGTCATTATTATGTTATGAAGTTAATTGCATAACACAAAGCCAAAGTGCTTGCATCCTTCTATTCCTGTATCTGTGTGTTTAGCACAACCATGTTTGTGCTTTCTGCACAACTGTGTGATAGTATTTCCCCTTGCTTGCATACTTTTTTGGTTCATCAGCATTCTTTGTTTTCACATCGTGTTTAGAATGACAGTTCTTTTGACTTATTCATAAAAGAGGACGAAAAATATTAAAACTTATTGTCATGACCAAAAATAAGGATTGTCTTGGGAGGAAAGTACAAAACAGAATTTCTAGGAATACCCCTTAGTTAGTTTTCAAGCCTTTATTCATCCAACAGATTGCTTTCTCAGCATTAGTGGAATTCGCTGAATTTGTAATTTGCTATATTTGCAGTACCGTTGAATTGGGAAGACTGAGAAAACGTGTACTCTTCCTTGACCTGTATTTTGCCAGGCCTGTGTTCTACATCCTGCTTCCCTCTGAATCTTGAGTACCTTGCTCGCTGCTTGAGAGGCAAAGCAAGTGAAAACGGTACGTGCACCCACAAGCTTTCTTTCAGAGACACAGCAGGAGGACTGACTTTGTAGCAGGGCTGAAAGTCGGGGAATAGATGGCAGTGCCAGTTTCCCCTTTTGGTACAATGGCAGATATAACGCTGAGACATCTTCTGCTTCCAGCAGAACATGCTATGAACCACAGACCGGCTATTCCTTTTAGCAGGTACAGGTTGGCCTGTTTTTACAAGATTGGCCCAGCTCTGCAAGTTAGCAACAGCCACGGGTCTGGACAGGTTGTGGTCCGGACCTGCAGTGTTCTGCCCTCATTTTACTCTAAGTCAGAAACAAGAGGAAACCTTTTCTGCTCTTAAATGGCCACAGAAGTTAATTAGACTAAAATCAATTTCAGTAATTCTTGGAATCTCTCATTCATGATCAGAACAAAGCAAAATGTTCACGGTCTTTTATTTTGAGTTTTCCATCAAGGCAAATGATAGGAAGAATGTTAAACTGGACATAGCAGGAGAGAAAAGTAAGCCAGTTACTGGGTAGATTCAAGACGCTGCCTGCTGGCTCACTCCTCGCCTCCAGGTTCCCATGTGGGACCCGAGTTCCTGAATATTCAATATCCATTCTGCAGTAAATCTGGTCTTACTAAGGAGCTTAACCTGCAGAGCTGCAGGTTTAAGTTTCAAACCCTGCTAGTCATGCATGCTTGGACAGTTTTGGTTATAGCAACAGATAGCAAAATTCATAGTTGCCTTTAAAAAGGCATACAGAAGTAATACTATGTAGGCTGCAAAACCAAGCACTTCAAAGTTGAGAAATGCCAGTAACTCAGTTTCCCATGCAACCATCATTTGACTCCTGTGTGCATTGTAGCACAGTCTTCAATTTTGTGATTATATAGTGTATTTTCTATGAGCCATGGCTGCATTCAGTGTACAGACTGAACACCACAGAGAACCAGAAAAATATAGCTTCAGTTATTCTTACACATGATGAATAAGTACTAATAAAGTAAGTGAGACTCTCTGTACGATATTCAGCAAGTAACTTTCTCTGGGTCTCAGTTTGCAATTCATGAAGTGGACCGGCACTCTCAGGTTTGTGTGACTCATTTTGGAACTTGAAGAAGAAAAGCATTAAATTACATTTTCAGGTATTAGTGATTACATTTCTTTGAACAGAGAGGACTTTGTGCTCTGCTTCCCGGTACACCTGGTGCCTGATGTTTTGGTTTTAGTTTGGACCCAACACTGGACTAAGGCTGTTTGGTCAATTTAAGCTGAAATTAAAAGCCGAATCTCAGCTGTGGCTCTGAACTGCTGCCTAAACCTTTTGCTTTCCTCTTCTCTGCAAAGCATGGAAGGTGTGCAGTCTTGACAGTTACACATTTTTGTTGGTTTTATTTGTTGCTCCTATGGAGTCACTTGAGAAATAAAATGCAAAACCCTTGTAAAACTTTAGAAAACTTGACTTTTGAGGTCATGTCATCAGTCGAAGTAATAGCCGGGTTTATACAAGGTATCTTTTATTCCTATTAAACTTGTTAAATGTAAACTTACTTATGTTTGCCTGAGTCTATGCGTATAGGAAATCTCCAGTGATGTGACTACTTCACAGAACTAGTGCAAACCTCCCCCAAAAGACGCAGCTCATCAGTGCACAGGGGGTATTTATGCTACATCTGCTTTTTGGTGTTATCTAGTGAAACTGGATTAGTTTTTGCAGTACTGGAAAAGAAAGCGATTCTCGGAGATGTTAGTCTATCCATCCAGTTGGCCACACTGGATTTCCCTGATGTAGCCTGGATGATTACAACCCTCTGCAGAATACGTTAAGATGCAGCACTTGTGTAAGCTTATATTGTGAAAGAAGTGTAAGCACTCACAATTTCCTGGCTGTTGAGTGTTAGGCTTCTCAACCTTATTGTTGCCTGAACATATGTTTTCCAAAATATTTGTACAATAGCATTCTGCGTTTATGTAACACCTTGTTTCACTGAAGCACTAAAAACATTCTGGAGCTGTTAATTAAAATGAAAATGCAACACGTTAATCACCCAATGAGATTTAAGAAATACGATACAATTTTTTTGCATGCATAATAATATAAAAGTATATTAATGGTGTTGTGTTCGATGGAACTGTTAAATAGTACGTGTTGTGGTAGACTATCTTAATGCCTTTGGTAATAAAACTGAATGTAGCAGTTCCAAGATTTCTTCTGGGTGTAATTTACCACAGACATATGTTCTTCATCACTGTTTCCAGCAGAATGTTACAAATTGGAGGGGAAACAGAATAGACCAAAACATAATGGAAAATGATGCTTTTCAACAGAATGCTGGGTTTGGGGGCATTTGGGGGGGATGTCTTTTTGGCAGCTGTTTAAAAATAAAAAGTTGTAAAATATCATATTTATTTTATCATCTTATCTGTTCATCTAGTTTTGTAAATGTCCATGTAGAGCTGCGTACAGCTACAAACATATGCAAAAGTAATGCTAATAGAACCGCAAACCAATTAAAAATCTATTTTTTCAGCTGCACCGTTCTCTCTTTTTCATCTGCAAATCTCTGTGGGAGCTTTCCAGAGCAGATCTGCCTTTCGTGGTGTGCTCTGGAGGCCAGCAGGCCAGCCGGGCTGCGGGGCAGCCAGCTACACTGCCCACG